CCACTCCTGACAATCTTTTTTTTTTTTTTAATTCGTGGCAGGGATTTTTTTTTCACCAACCCAAATCCTCCCCCCACACCTTTTTTTTTTCCTTTTAGAGTTGGGGGGGAAGACAAGACCGTCCCAGGAGACGGAGGTGGGGAAATGGGGAGGGGGTGCTCCAGCCCAGCAAACAGCTGCGCAGCTGGATTCTTTTGCAAATAGCGAGAGAAGGGGAGGGGACGGCGGCTTCGGAATCCTAGCACCAGCGCGGCCGGCGCCCGGCCTGGCGGGGCGCAGAAACCGGGTACCCGGAGCCCGCGGCCACCCCCTTGCCCTGCCGGTCCCCGGGTCCGGGGCGCACTTGGGGCTTGGTCAGCCCGCTCCTCCGAGCGCAGACCCACGCGCTCGCCAACTTTTCCCGGCTCCCCCTCCCCCTCCGCTCCTCGGCTCCCTCCCCCTCCTCTCCAAACCCTGCCACCAGCGCGCCGCCGCCACACACGCCGTTTGGAGGGCCGAGCGTCCAGCCGGGCTCGGCGCGCATAGCCGCCTGCAAACCCGCGTCCCCTCCTCGACCCGGAGCCCGCAGCGGCTACCCCAGGCTGCAGAGAAACTTTCCCAGGGCCCCGCGCCCAGCCGCTGCGTCCGGTTTGGTGTCCCCAGCCCCGGGCGCCCGAAGCCCCGGCCGCCGGCCCCTCACGCGCGCCGCAAACACTTACGCGTGATGAGTTCCCTCTGGGACAAGTGCTGCGGGTTGCCCTGTTTGCGGCGGGACATTGCCCCGGCATCTATTCTGGCATCGCCCGGAGAGCTGCACAGATGCGGGTCGGGGAGGGGGTCCGAGCCGCCGCCGCCGCCGCCGCCGCCGCGCCTCCTCCTCTGCCCGGGTTGGTGCCTCTGCCCTTCCTCGCTTCCTCCTCCTCCTCCTCTTCTTCTTCTTCGTCTTTATTTTGCTCTTTCTTCTGGGCTGTGTTTTTGTTTTTGTTTTTGAAAAAAAGAAAAAGCCAGGAAGATGGTTTGGTCTAAAATAGAAAAGGCAAAAATAAATGATAAAACTGCTGTTGCTCGCCGCGGACTGGCTGGTTTCTTTAAAAATATATTCTTTTGGAGGAAAAATATCTCTCACACTTCTTCAAAGTGCTTGGCCTCTTAGACTTGTAAATGTCTTCTTGAAGTTACGCCGGATTTTGCACCGGCCTCTGACACTTTTCTTTCGGGGTCTGGTAGGTGGAACGCGCACTTCCACCCAAGGGGAGGGGGGAGAAAAAATGCAAACAAATTTCAAAAAAGAAGAAAAAAAAAACAAGCAAAGAAAACTTGGGGACTTGTCTCGTACCCCCTCACCCCGCCCCCTCAAAAGCCCAAAAGCAATAAAAAAAACTGCCTTGGTTCGGCTCTTTCTGGGTTGTCTGCACGCTGCCTG